CTCATCTTCATAATCATTTTCTATACAAGGAAGAAGTTCATTTTCAATCAATGGTTCAATGAAAATACTTTCATCAATCAATTGTTGTTTATTAAGGTAAACACGTGATACAAGCCAATGATGTACACTTAAATTTCCCACTCCTAGCTTTGAAAGATCATATGGTAGCTTAATATTCACACCATCTATGTTGATTGTACGAGAGGTAGAGGTGTTAGCGGTGGTCTTGCGGCTGAAAGCTAGCTCATCGCCATCCAGTTCTTGTGAAATGATATTTAATTGACATTGTTCAAGCAATGAGCAAATCAACATTGATTTACGAGCACCTGGAGGGGAGAGTACAATTTCTGAAGAGTCGCCACCTGATTTTCCAGTGCCGTAAGATTGATTGATTTGCTTAATTTCCTCATAATGAGGTTGCATCCATGGGATAACTACCGTTTCTTGATTCCCTTCACGGAATGATTCTAATTTTTGAAATAAAATTTCCTTGTATGCACTGTAGTCATTGTCTGGTTTGATGTGGTTGGATAATTCTTTTAGGATTTGATTTGTGCGAGCAGGTATGTTACTCCATAACCTACGTATTCTGCGCACTTCTGGTGATATCAAAGCTTTAATTATTGCAGCAAAGCTATTAAAATTACGATAAACGTTTAACAGGTAATAAGATATTCTTACAGCATGAGCAATTATACTTTCACGTGGATGCTGGGCGCCATTACCACGTGAAAGACTTCCAGATGATTTGACATTATCAAAAGTGATAAGCTGATGTGAAAAACTGTTGGTTAGATAACGATGAAAATCGAGACAAGCTTGTGGTTTTGAATTTTTTTTATCTTTTGTTTGAAAATCTTTTTTGAAATCAATTTTTCTAAATAGATCACAATCAATTATCGTCAACTGCGCTGCAATAACATCAGCATCCCAGTAAAGTAAATTTACTTCAGAAACCAAGTTGATTTCTTTGTTGAGCTTTTCAGCTTTTGATTCGATGGTTCTTATTTCGTCCTCTATGCTACGAAGCTGACTAAGATGAGAATTGTCATCATCATCATTTTTTCTTTGAGGATTTCGTTGTTTGATATTACTGATTTTTTCTTTAGCCGCATCTAGATCTTGAGAATATTGTAATACATTTCTTGATAGAGGAGAAAATGGAATAAGCGGTAAATGTAATGGTGTTGGAGTTGTGTTTTTTAATGTAGGAGCAAAATCAGAAATGGAAGAAGGTTGTGGAGAAGGGAGGTTGCCTACTGTAACTTTATTTTGAAGAATATCTTCTAATTTTTGTACACATGTTTTAAGTTGACTAAACAAACGAGCACTATTATGGGGTTTTGATTTAATACTTTCTACATTATTTTTTTAAAAAAAAAAATTTGAATATTTAATTGAATAAAGGAATAAACTAAACTTTAAACTGATATATAAAAATTTTGTTATTTTCAACTACCTCTGCTGATGAAAGTAACCTCATTTCCTAGTTTATAAAGTAACGCATTGGCAGTTTTCAAATAGTTATCGTATGAATCCTATGTTTATGGAGTGATTTCAAAGTTGATCAATGATCTTGTTATTATTTTAGTATCTAATAATTTCTTGCTTCTTTGTTTTCTTTTCTTTTTTTTTTAATTATTATTATTATTATTCGTTTTAAAAAAAAACAAATAGTATCATACCTTGAGGTTTTCATTATGATAATCACCTGTTGCAATATTATATAAGTTTTCCCAACCGCTCATAGTTGAGTATTTTTTTCAATGAAGGTATTTATTTTAATCTATGAGTAATATGAGTAATAAAAAGATAAAAAATTTTTAAATATATGTGACGATGATGTATAACAAGCTTTGTTTTAAATATAAAAAGGGGGTGCTTGTTTGGAAAATTGAAAACGTATATATGAATGGATGAAAATAAAGTTCGTGGAACAAGCGATACTCTTTTTTGTGGGCAAAAAAAGTCATGATTACACAAACGTTTGTAGATGTTATTTATCCAATTAAATTATATCACGTGAATTTATAGAAAAAAAATCTTTTTTAAAAAAAAAAAATTTTTTCAATTAAAAAATAATAATAATGAAATTCTCTAAAGGTTTTTGGTTTTTTTATTTTATGAAATTTATTAATTATGAAAGGATACCACCAATCTAACCAAATTGATGATCAATATATTTTATTTTGTTGTTATTAACTTTTTTTTGATGATGTGGTTTTTTAGACGTTAGTTCTTCTAGACGTAAAAGTCGAAAAGCTCATTTTACAGCTCATTCAGCACTTCGTAGAAAAATTATGAGTGCATCTTTATCAAAAGAGCTTAGAGAGAAACACAATGTAAAAAAATCTAATTAATTGCTTGATTTATTGATTTATTGTTGATAATTTTTTATTTGATATATGCACACACATAATAAAAATTATATTTATTCATGCATATATATATATATATATGTGATTATTCATTATGTAGGCTAGATCAATACCAATTCGTAAAGATGATGAAGTTAAAATAGTAAGAGGCACCAATAAAGGTCGTGATGGTAAAGTGACTCAAGTGTATCGTAAAAGATGGGTGATCCATATTGAACGTCTCAGCAGAGAAAAGGCAAATGGTAATACTGTTCAAATTGGTGTTCATCCATCAAATGTGGTCATAACCAAATTGAAAATTGATAAAGATCGTAAAGGATTATTAGGAAGGAAAAATAGAGATAAAGAAGGTGCAAGTAAAGGAAAAGAGAAGATGGACGAGTCCGAAGATTAGAAAAAATCATATTGTGATATTATAAATAAATGTTCAAGTAAATTATTTGATGATTGCTTTTATTTATTTTTTGTATTAAAAAAAAGAGTCAAATAATATTAAATCTATCATTTTTATCATCAACTTTACATGAATTAAAATTTAAATATTTTACTTGATTATATCTTCTATTTCTTTAACGGTTAATGAAAATTTTAATTTAATGAATGATGACAAAAAAAAAATTTTTTTTCTAATAATTTTTAAATTCATTAATAAGAATTAGTTGTTACTTTAGATATACCAAAAAAATTTATATTAATATTCATAGGAATATAAAAGAATAACACTCCATTTAAAACAAAGTAATCAATCTTCTTGATTTTCTAGCACACTTGAATCCTCACTATTAATTCTCTCATGTTGTCAGTCTACATAATTAATTAAGGAATCAAAATCATTGTTAGGAATTATGAACTTTGTATTAAGGATACAGATTTGGAGGTAGTATCATTACCGCCGGTATTAATTAATTTGTCTAAAAGTGTTCACAACCAAATTTAAAAATCTAATCGTCAGTAGATTTTTATGAGATGTGTGGTACTTGTGAGTCCAGGAATATGCAGTCTCGGTTTTAGCCAAAGTCTGTTATACCGATATTTAACTAGTACTAGTAGGTCCGTTATATCGAGAGAATTATCGCTAAATCGCTAAATCAAGGTCTGCTAAATCAATGAAGAAATTTAAAAATGGAGAAATAATTTTTGTTGTAAATTTAATTTCCATATTTAGTATATTCCCTGGCTGCACTATGGCACCATTATTTAGTGGTGATCAATGATAGAAATTTACCCGGGAGATCGTCATATTAATCCAGAGCTCTTCTCTTCCAACATAAACTTTCTTAAAAAGGAGATAAATTTCTATTGTCCACCCAATCCAAGGATCTACATTCTCAAAACATGAAGGTTCAACCTTTTAACAGGGGTGTCTGGGTAGTTGGTGATTATGTGTAACCCAATTTTAATTAGTAGATTGGGTTATGGTTTACCAGTAAGAGGTTTAACCTTAGGATCGACGTCTCAAATAGTAATAGTAAGGTTAACCTTTGTTGTAGGTCCTTGGATTGGTTGATATTGTCCCTCCCTACATACAGTGCATATCACGTCATTTTAAAAAGGTAATCAATAAGTTTTATTATTCATGACTCTAGCTTCAAAACCTATCAGCCAAATTTTCTTAAACCGAAAATTGGCTGAGCCTTAGCATTTTGAAAATTACATTATTGTTATACATTTGAAAAAACCGAGACCAAGTGTATTTATAAAATATTTCTTTAAAATATAATTGATTTATTTGTACCTTTTTTTTATTAATAAAAGTTTTTATAAAAAAAAAAGCTTAACGAACATATGGGACATACTGCAACAAAATCAGACAAAATGAACATTAGCTATAACTTTAGACTTAAGACAAATTTGCAATCGGATTCAATTTCAATGGTAACCTTTTTTTTTTGGTGTTCTTTATGTAGATCCTGGATAAGTGACTATATACAAAGTATCACGTTGGCTCGTTTGTAACATACGAAACATATATGAATTGATCAACAAAGTGGCATAAATTCTACTTCCAAATTTGGAAAGTACCCTGACTGTAATAAGATTCTATATTGCAGGACACCTAGTCCCTACAACTTTTATTAGTCTTGCAAATTCTTTAACTCCTCCAAAAATGGAAATGTGTGACCAAAAAAAAACAAGATGACATTTTGAAGCTAAGACTTTTTCTACAAAATGACATTTTCATTTTGTTGATATGCCATGTTGTTGTGGAGGATATAGATGCTGGTCGCAATTCTTGGTGATGGTTGCAACACCTGGTTGCAACCACTTTGCAACCACTTTGGTTTCCTTTTTTGGATTGCGACATGGAACACTAGTGGATGAATTAAGCCTTAAAGTTGCACAATTTTAACAAATTTACTATGTTGATCCCCCAAAATGACGTGTTACACGCAAATTTTTTATATTAAAAATGAATGAATTGGAAGAATTGAAAATTTTGAAATCTGTATTGCAGATCTTTTGTCACGTGATACCAATAAAGGTAACAGGACAAACCTATTTTTAAAACATGTGACTGTAAAAATTTTATTGCATTTTTAATTGTGAATTTTTTCCCAAATCTGTTGCTGTGGCGCAGAAAGTTGTAGGGACTAGGTGTCCTGCACCATATTAATAAATTCGATGTTAACAAAAGTTTTTTATTAAAGCTTAGTGTGAATTTTGTCAAAATTTTGGGATATTTGCTGATTTGAATTTCACACAACAATCACATTATTATGTAATTATTATGTATAATAGTATAATTGTGATGTTAATCAATTTTGGTCCCCGAAATTTCTTTGAGATACATCAAAATGTGTTACAATATATAGATATTCTGATTTCTAATAAAAAAATCAGAAAAATGTTGGTAAGTCTCAATGCTCAATAAAAACTAGTGTTTTCTTAAGATAATAAGGGCATCTTATTTATTTTTTATTCGTTTTTAGCAGTCTAACAGTATTGAATTTACTCCTACTAAACAAAGTGGCAAAGAAACAAGGTACATGTAAAAAAAATAATTATTAATTGAAACTTGTATATATGTGCGTAGCGCTTGATATTTTTATTAATGAAATAATTATTAGAAATGGAAAAGAATTATTAGATGATCCAGTTCAAGATCATCGACCATGTTTATTGATTATGGGATTAAAAAGGTATGATCCTTAATATAGATATGTATTCATTATATATAACCACAATTACAATTTCTATTTTTTAATAATTTTATAGAAGTGGAAAATCAAGTATTCAAAAAGTTGTATTTCATAAGATGCTAGCAAATGAAACATTATTTATTGAAAGTACATATCAAATTGCCAAGGAAAATATAACATATGTAAAGATACACATAATTTTTTATTTCGAATTTGTATAATTTTTTTATGGTTAATTTTCTTAAATAAGTATAAATAATTTGTATTAGATCGTTCATTGATTTCCAAGTATGGGATTTCCCAGGACAAATTGATTATTTTGATCTGGCATTTGATTCCAGTATAATTTTTGGAGAATATGGAGCATTGATTTTTGTGATAGATGCACAAGTAAGTTGATTAATTATTATTTGAATAGAACTATCACATAATTTATTATATAAAAGTTGAAATTTATATATAAATATTTATTTATTTATGCAAGGATGACTACTTTAAAGCACTTAATCGACTTCACCAAACAATTACACAAGCATATAGTTTTAATCAAGAGCTTGTGTTTGAAGTATTTATTCATAAAGTAGACGAATTGTCAGAGGAATTTAAATTTGATACATTGAGAGAAATTCAACAAAGAACAACTGATGAATTAGCAGACATTGGATTGGAAAATGTTCCAATAAATTTTTACTTGACTAGTATTTATGATCATTCTATTTTTGAAGCATTTAGTAAAGTAGTTCAAAAACTTATTCTGCAATTACCAACATTGGAAAACTTACTAAATATATTATGTGCTGTACGTTATTTGTTTTAATGATTTCATTTATATTTATTTACATATTAATTGATTTAATATTTCTAATATTTATATTAGAATTCTGGTATAGAGAAAGCCTTCCTATTTGATATCAATTCAAAAATTTACGTTGCAACTGATAGTTCACCTGTGGATATACAATCATATGAGCTTTGTAGTGATATGATTGATGTTATTATTGATATTTCAGAAATTTATGGGTTAATATAATATTAATTAATAAATAAAGTACCGAATTATAGAGTTAATATATGACTTATTATATTTATGGCATTTTATATCTTATGTTTTTTAGGCAAAATAATTCGGATGAAGCAATTGGTCAATCAAATTTACTGGAGAATGAGAATACAACAACTTATGGAACAATTGCTGATACTGCAATTGACACCTCATCATTAATCAAATTGAATAACGGAATGATATTATGTCTTAAAGGTGTCAATAGGTGAAACTTTATAAACAATTTATTTACTATTTAATCTCTCATATAATTCATATATAATTGTAACATTGATACAAATACAACTAATAATAGAATTTATCATCATTATCATCTTACTTCTTTGTCATTTTTAGATTTCTTGTGCTAGTATGTTTACTTCGATCGGATAATTTTGAGAAACATGGACTAATAGATTATAATTTTCAATGTTTTAAGCACGCAATAGCAGAAGTATTTGAGTTAAAACGTCTTAGTACTGAAAGGATTAAGCAAGAAAAATTAAAACTAGTGGAAATTTTAGCGAAGATGATAATTTCAACTAATAATTTCTTACTATTTATTTCTAAATTTGTATTTTTTTAATTATTTTAATATTTTAATTACTTTCTTATCTTTGTTTAATAATTAATACCATATATTTGCATTCAACTGTATATTACTAAAACATTTAAAATTTTCTATTTATTTTTTGAAAATCACTGCCAAAATAAAATAATTGTAATCAAATTTGGAAAAGATCTATAAAGCTTTATATCAAGACAAGACTACAAATAAAATCCTCTTTTGAATGAAATTTAAAGAATGTCATCAGATTATAATAATATAAAAAATTTATGTGAAACCATTATTTTCAAAATATCAAAAACTTTAAACAATAAGGATAATGATGATAATTTATTGGGAAAAAAAGATGGTAATTAATTAAATTAACAACAGATAAAAAATAAATCTTTTTATTTATAACATTTTATTTAATCTTTTTAGGAATATTTAATTGTGATAAATCATCAATTTATTTATTAAACCAATGCATTAAAGATTTAAAAATATATTTTAGTAGTGTAGTGATAGTAATAATGATGATAATAATAACAATGTTTTAATAAAGGCAACTTCATTAATTGATTTAGCATCTGAAAAACTATATTTGTCCCCATATAAAGATGTAGCAATTTGTTGGCTACCTTTGTACACAGATGCAAGTTTAATAAAGAGTGTTTGTGAAATTTTAATGACGATAAATATGACAACAACAAGAACACTAGCATCATCATTGTTATCATCATCATCATCACCAATAACAATATTATCGTTATTGAAACAAGTTATTAAGAATTTGGATATGGCTTTAGTGATGACAAATGACAAATGCTCCTGGATATGAAAGAAAAGAATTGATATTTAGTCTTATAGAAGTACAGAAAATCTTAAAAGGAATTGACGAAAATCAAATAATATAAAAAATTTATGTGAAACCATTATTTTCAAAATATCAAAAACTTTAAACAATAAGGATAATGATGATAATTTATTGGGAAAAAAAGATGGTAATTAATTAAATTAACAACAGATAAAAAATAAATCTTTTTATTTATAACATTTTATTTAATCTTTTTAGGAATATTTAATTGTGATAAAGCATCAATTTATTTATTAAACCAATGCATTAAAGATTTAAAAATATATTTTAGTAGTGTAGTGATAGTAATAATGATGATAATAATAACAATGTTTTAATAAAGGCAACTTCATTAATTGATTTAGCATCTGAAAAACTATATTTGTCCCCATATAAAGATGTAGCAATTTGTTGGCTACCTTTGTACACAGATGCAAGTTTAATAAAGAGTGTTTGTGAAATTTTAATGACGATAAATATGACAACAACAAGAACACTAGCATCATCATTGTTATCATCATCATCATCACCAATAACAATATTATCGTTATTGAAACAAGTTATTAAGAATTTGGATATGGCTTTAGTGATGACAAATGACAAATGCTCCTGGATATGAAAGAAAAGAATTGATATTTAGTCTTATAGAAGTACAGAAAATCTTAAAAGGAATTGACGAAAATCATGTTCTTCATAATCATGAATCTTCTTCATCATCAAAAAAATGTAGGGATATTGAGGAAGAGAAGGAAAAAAGAAAATTTCCAAAATACAAAAAATTAGATAATCCAATATCAACTTCAAAATCATCAACAAAATCTACTACATCATCATCATTAATACCAAAAATTCCATCGCCAAGTATATCATATTTTACATCTCATGTAACCTCCAATAATCCAACACCTTTCATCATCACATCATCAATTTCACATTGGCCTGCATTATCAACAACTCCATGGAGTGATATGAATTATTTGTTGAATAAAATAGGAAAAAATCAGTTGGTACCAGTGGAAATAGGAGCTAAATATACTGATAATTCTTGGACACAAAAACTAATCAGCTTTGAAGAATTTGTAAATAATTGGATATTATCAAATGATCTTATTGAAAATTATAACACTGAGAATAAAATAGAAGACAGGAAAGAAGAAGCAAAAGTAGTAAATAAAGAACAAAAAGAAATAGCTTATTTAGCTCAACATAATTTGTTTGATCAAATTCCTAGTATTAAAGATGACATATTGATCCCTGATTATTGTTTTGTAAATACAGTCATACCTTTTTCAAATCTTCCTTCATCCACAAACAATTCAAATGATGTTGATGATGATTACAATAATTGTAAAGGGAATGAGAACAACCAAAAACCAAGAAAATATAACCCTCCTCCTGATGTTATTATAAATGCATGGTTTGGACCAAAAGGAACCATTTCACCCATGCATACCGACCCCTATCATAATCTTTTAGCTCAAGTTGTAGGAAAAAAATATATAAGATTGTATTCGCCTGAAGAAACTACCAATCTATATCCTTTTGAGCAAGATGGATTTCTTGGTAACACAAGCCAAGTAATGAATTTCTAATTATATATATATTATTATTTTTTTCATAATTATATATGTATTAATTGTGAATATATATATCCAAAAGGTTGATGTAGAAGTGCCAGATCTTGAACGGTTTTCTCGATTTGCTTCAGCTAAATATCAAGAATGTATTTTGGAACCCGGAGAACTGTTGTATATCCCAGTAAGTTCTTGATAATATATTTTTTTGACATTTTTTTAAATTGTCCATTTTTCAACATTTAATTAACTAATAATATTAATAATTTAGCCTGGCTGGTGGCATTATGTAAAATCATTAACCATAAGTTTCAGTGTAAGCTTTTGGTTTTAAAGTATATAAAATATTTTTCTTTTTAGTAGTAATTAATAATTGTGATGGGTATTACATTTAATATTATGATGTTATTATATAGGAAAGAATAATATTCTGAAAAAAATAAAAATAGAAAAATAAAAAACTAAAATTCTAAATTTGATGTTGTTGATGTATATTTCCCTTAGATAATTCTTCTGATGATATCCATTAATACTGACATTAGGTATTGAAAAAATGTAAAATAGTTTTTTTCCCAATAATTTTAATTGAGACTATTCAATTTTAAATACCTAAGTCTAAAAAGATGTGTATATATATGATGTGTGTGTGTGTGTATATAAGTAATATATTATTTTTTTGGTCGCTATTAAAAAATTTTTTTTGTTACAAACCAAATGGGTTTTTTAAAAAAAGATTTTCTGATTATTATTAACTAGCAAAAAGAGATGATATACATATTGTGTATTAATCGAGCAACAATATTTAAATCATATTATCGTTTTAGTAAGAGTCACCAAAAGATGATTATTTCCTTTTATTACTGCCAGCCATGCGTTTATTTTTTTGACCAGAAAGTAATTGATCAGAATATAATTTTCCATTAGCTCTAATAAAAAAATTAGGAAAAAATGATGATAAATTAGCTAAATGGCAATATATTATATATTTATTTATTTATTACTTACTTACCTAACAGGAGGTTTATTAAGTTTTCCTCTTGCTCTATATGTTGCAGCACCAGTATTTGAATTGTTGCCTGGCTGCTTTAATTGAACTTTAAGAACATAGCCTAGAATACAATTCAAATTAAATATAAGATACTTGAAATAATAAAATAATAAAGTATCTATATTAATTTATATTAATATATTAAATACAAACCATCAACAAGTGCAGTATTATATTTCTTTATTGCATCAAGTGCTGAAACTTTACTTTCAAAAGTTAATTCAGCCTTTACAGGATTAGCAGGAAATCTTTCATCTACGTTCATTGTAGAAATTTCACCAAATTCCATAAATGCCGTCTAAACAAATCAAAAAAAAAAAAAAACAATAATAACAACAATAATAAAATTAATAAATGATTTATTATAAATCAAAATTTTGATTTTATAGATACATTCCAACCAACCTTAATATCATTTGCACTTGTACCAGGCGCTAAATTGTTAACAGTGATGGTAGCAGGACCTCCTTCACCTTTAATAGAATATCGAGCTTGTTGATTTCCAGCAGCACCTTTGATCGATAATCTATTTACAACACCACTACCGCCGGGACTATTATTAATTCCGTTACCCAGACGTTGTCTGATAGATAAACCCAAATTATTGTTGTTATTGTTGTTATTGTTATTGTTGTTGTTGGGCTTTGGATTGTTCCTATTTTGAGCACCAGAGTTGAGAGTTGGGAAAAGGTCATGGCGCCAAACACCATTAGGATTGCCAGATTTGGAAATTCTCGGTTTCTGATTTTAAAATGTCCACATTATTTATTAAATGTATTTAAATCAATTTTTTTTCATCACATTCTTTCACAAGTCCCAAATAAATATTAAAACCACCACCAGAAAATATATAAAATAGTTCTTCTTAAAGAAAATCATGTTATTTTAATTTTTAAAAATTTTTTTTTTGAACGTTGTTGAAAAAGAAGAAAAATAAATTATATTTTTTTTATATACTTTCTAGCGTAGACTACTAATTGGGATTCTGCTTTGATTCTTACCGGATAGGGATTAGCTTTTTGCCTGGTCAAATTTTTACCAGCAGATCTGGTACGAATTGGTCCTATTGTCTTGTTGTTTCTATTATTGTTGTTGTTGT